GCTGCACCCCAGACCCCCTCCTAGAGCCCAAACTCTCTCCCAGAGCCTGCACCTCAATACCCTACCCCAGACCTCCATTTCATCCAAACACCATCCCAAAGCCTTAGGCAGGTGGGGGGACAGAGTTTTTTGGGGGTGGGTTCTGGGCAGCATGAGTGACATTGGCCCACTGGGAGGCTTTGAGGACTAGCACTGTCCCTAAGGTAAATTGAGTGTGAGACCTCTGCCATAATGTCTTCGCTCCTCTTCCTTTAGTGATCCCTATGCAAGTTGCTACCTGCTTCTTGGTTTTAAAATCTTCAGCCAGCATGAGGTAGGGCCCCTACCTTTGCCTCATTTGGTCTTTTTTCTGTGGGGACTATGGAGCCACCAGGGAGTGTTACCCAGCTTCACTTGCTGAGTAATGCTCCCTCAGTGTCACCAAGTCCCATGTTCCATAGCGAGCTCTTAACAAAGGGAATAGACCTAGATAGTCAAGGCTGGGGTAACAGCTATGGGGCTGGGCACAGTATAAGAACCTGACTGCAGTAAGATCACCCTCTTCTCTCCTACAAGACAAGCACACTCCCTTCACTAGCAGGACTAAGTACTGATTTTGCTCCAGCTCCCTAAGTGGCCCCCTCAAGGATTGAACTCTCAACCCTGGGTTTAGCAGGCCAATGCTCAAACCACTGAGCTATCCCTCCCCCTCCAACATTCAACAGGCTTCTTCCTGGCTGTGACTGACATCTCTTCCTTAGATCCCTACTCTGTCCAGCTTGTTTGCAGAGCAGGAACCCTGTTGGCAACACTTGTGTGGCCCCAAGGAGGGGCCTGTAAGTCATGGCTCATATTGCTTGCTCAGTCAGGTGCCTACCGCTTTGAAGGCCTGCAGCAGACGCCACCTTGTTCTTAAGCCGCCTCTTCTGCAGGTGCAGCTTCTAAATGTTGTTTAATTACATAGTTGCCTTTATTCCTCCTCTACACCTGGACCCCTTAGGCTGGGAGGGCCAGGTGTGGTGTAGCTCAACTGAGCCTGAGGCTGCAGGGTGTGTGTGAAAACTGGAAACGAATGAGGAATAAGGGAGGCAAGTGCTGTCACTCATAGACCTACCAGATCATCTAGTCCGCTGCCCTGGGTAGCACAGCAAGGTATTACAACCCATCAGGGCCCCTAAAATAGCAGGAGCATCCCACACTGCAAGTGTTAGTACCTCTCTAAAACTACCTGCTGCACTGGAAATCAGGTTGAGATGACAAGCCACCCTTGAGCGATGTAACCTTTTGGCAGTAGGGTACCGGCTCCACTCACACACGACTGCTCTCGCTCAAGCACCAGGCCTGCAGCACCTATGGGTTCAGCACTATGATTTAATGGTAGTTTCACCTCTTTCCTCCCATTGTCACTGATACAGCAAAATAAAAACATTATGCAGCTGGGGACATGGGGGGGTCATATCCTAGGCTGTTTGGCTGCAGTCTGTAGCAAGAGAACAATCTGCTTTGAATACAGTGGTTAATAAAGGACAGAACCGGTTACTACTCTATCCCTTTTTATTGTCTTTAATCTACTGTTGTAAAAAGATCCAGTATCACATAACAGCCACTGAAGTATCCCAATATCACACTAGTTCTGAACCATTTAGACAATAGCTTAGTTTTTTTTACCTGCTGGAAGGGAAAAACCATACTGTTTATTGTACAGACTGAAAATGTAAAACACTGGTCAAATTATTGTGACAACCTGTCAAGCAAGTGAAATGGAGATGAAAAGTTTTGCATGACTACAGGGTCCAAGACCGCCAGGCTGCCTGGGACAGCCCCTCCCTCAGGTGCAGTTCTGAACAATGCTACTCAAAGAGAGCCTGGAGCTCACTGCCACCAGTGACATCTGGTCCCTTGTAACCACCCCCAGTGAGCTTTCCCACCCTCTGCCCATCCTTCAGTCCATAGCTAGAGCGGAGCGATTCCATCTCCACGCCACCAGATGGAGTGCTTCAGTTACAAGGGCAAGGGCCTGCTTCATGTCTTTGCCACAGTTCTAGCCCAGTGCAAGGCCATGACAGGCTAGTTTTTGCTCCTGTAGTTAATCCATACACAGAAAGCTGCTGGCTCTCGTGTGGGAGGATGGAGCTCCTAGTGGCGTATTACCAGCCCAATTAGAAGGGTAACAGAGAACCCAGTTACAATACTGTGCCCCATACCTAGACTCTGGGCTGGGCTGGGCCAGGCCTAGTTATGACCTTTTTCCATCACACAGGTGCCCCTGCCAGCTGCCATTAGGGTAGCATTAATCTTTTTTTAGTTACAAAGAGCAGTAGAAATAAAAACAAATCGCAAGTCCAGTGACCACCTTTCATTTCCCTG